GCAAGGACAGCTGATCTGTCCCCCAATCAGCACAGGTCCACTCGGTGGAGACTGGTCAGGAATATAGAACTGCAGGGGGTGCAATTTGCTGAAAAGACTCAGGCCCAGACCAGAGTTTCCACAGAACCCAGCTGCACCAGACCTCACAAGACCCAGAAGTATATCCAAGGTCAACTATTAAAAACTGAGTTGTACAAAAAGCCTTTCTTAGGAATCAGCAGCAATGAAGCAGTTTAGCTCGACCACATGGCTCAAATGCTGGTCACCACAAGAAGTTCCTACATTTTGGAAGTAAGCAAAGGACAGTGATTAGTTCCAGTGCAGAGTATAAGTGGTGGGAACAGCAAATAATCCAACTCAGAACTGAAAGAAAAAACAAAATACCCACAGATCAGAGACAAAGTTTGATACTAACCAGTAAATGTCTAACACCACCAAAGAACACCTGTAAAACCTAGAAGGACTGGAAGCCACCTGGGCCTCCAAGCCAGGGAGGGGGAAGGGCCGAGGGCCTCCGCCATGCCCCCCCAACATCTGCAACCAGCCCAAAGACTACCCAGCTGCCACTGGAAGCCCCCTGATCTCCCCTGCCAGGATGAGGGGGTGCAACGGGCCTCAATCACACTCTCTCTCTTTCCTGATCTTCTCACCCTATTTCCCCTCCCCCTTCCCTTCTCTTTCTCCCCCATAACTGCTCCACAACAACATCTTAGAATGAGGCATGGAGTCGGGGGAAGCCAAACTCAGCCTCAACTAGGCAAGTTGCCACCTCTATCCCGGGGCCCCACTGGGATCCTGATGCATGGAGCCAGGGGAAGCAGAACCCAGCTGCAACCACGTAAAGAGCACTCCAAAAACACAATTTCCATGCAGGTAGCCCACCATAGCCACCTCAATTGCCATGGCTGCCACTAAAGTGGCCAATCTCTATAGCAGCAGTCACAGCCACCATGCAGATGGCACATCAGACTCTCAACTGCACTGACACAAGGAGAGGCACCAGCATAAAACAAACAAAAAAAAAAGGAGAAGAAGAAAAGGTCCTCTCTCTTCACAAAGCACACTCCAGAGTAATAGAAGAAGCATCTGATTTATGATAACAGGGGAGGAGTTGGTCACAGCCATCTCAGTACTGGACAGATCATCTAGGCAACAGACGAACAGAGGAACAGTTTATGTATTAGATGGAGAGAACAAATCTATGGACATTAGATTAGTCATTAGGGAAATGCAAAATAAAATCACAATTACATACTAATACACATCTACCATAGCAGGAGTCAACCAAGATGTGGAGGGATTAGAACTTTCACACACACGGATGGTCATGTGAAATGTTACAACTACTCGAAAAGCATTTGGAAATTTCTTAAAGTGTTAAATATACATCTACCATATAACCCAGCCATTCCACTCCTAGATTTTTACATAGGAAAAATGAGTGCCTACGTTTATACAAAGACATACATGAATGTTCATAACATAATAATCTGTAATAGTCGTAAACTGGGAAAAATATATATTAACATATAAATGGATAATAAATAAAGTTATATTTACATAACGGAATACTACTTGGCAGTAAAAAGGAATGAACTACTGATGAAAACAACATAGGTGGATCTCAAAATAATTATGCTAAGTAAAGGAAACCAAATAAAAAGATATAGATATGGATAATTCAATTCACACAAAAAAAATTCTATGAATTGCAAACTAATTTATAGTGACAGGAAAAAAAAAGAAAAAGATCACTGGTTGCCTGGAAATGGGAAGAAGGTGGTAAGAAGGAGCAAGAGGAAAGAATTCCAAAGGTACATGAGAAAACTTTTAGAAGTTATGTATATGATCATTGTCTTGAATGCGGTAATGATATCATGGGTGCATACATATTCAAAACTTATCAAATTGTACACTTTAAACACATGCAGTTGATTGTATCTCAGTTACATCTCAATAAAGCTGTTTTTTAAAAAACAAGAAAAAAATGAAACAGTAATTAATACAATATGATATTGGCATAAGGATAGATTAGTGAAACAAAATGGAGACTCAGAAAATAGACCCACATTTACGTGGTATATTGATTTTAAACAAACCTCCCGAAAATCAATGAAGAAAAGATTATTTTTTCAACAAATTGTGCTAAAAATAACTGAATGTTTATTCCGGAAAAAATTACCTATGACACCATACTGAAAGATTAATTCAAAGTGAATCATTGACCTTATATAAAATCTAAAACCATAAAACTTAAAAATGTCATAGGGAAAAATACTTGTGACCTAGGCTTAGAAAGTATTAAAGAATACATAAGACAAAAATCATGAACTAATAATTTTAAAAGTTGTTAAATTGAAATTTATTAAAATTGAAAACTTGTTTATCAAAAAACATCATTGAAAAAATGAAAAGGCAAGCCACAGAAAATAAGAAATACCCAACAAAAGACATGCATCCAAAATACATAAGGAGGGCTGGCCCGGTGGCGCACTGGATAGTGCGCCGCTTGGGAAGCGCGGCGGCGCTCCCGCCCGAGGGTTCGGATCCCACATACAGACCGGTTCCCGCTCACTGGCTGAGCGAGGCGCGGGAGCAACACCGAGGGTTGCGATCCCGTTGCCGGTCCCTGGTCCGGTACGGGGGCAACACTGAGGGTTGCGATCCGTTGCCGGACACGGAAAAAGACAAGAGACCAAAAAAAAAAAAAAAAAAAAAAAAATACATAAGGAACTTTTACGTATCAATAATAGGAAGACAAACTAGCCAATTTTAAAAAATGGTGGATTTCTAGTATTGGCCAAGAAAGAGTAGTCCCATTTCTTCCAGGTCCTTCCTCTTACATCTAAAAAATACCCGGGACATAACACAACAAACAAACATGGGGAGATTCTGAAGGTGGAAAGAAGACACTGACTAGGAACCTTGGAACTTGAGGACGGACAGCAATGAATTTCCTGCGTTTTCTTTTTGCTCTCATTGAGGACAGTGGAGAAGCCTGGAACCTGGAACCACCGAAAAGGATAGACAGAGACAAGAGCCAGGGTAAGGGGAGAGAACAGGACACTCCAAGAAAATCCTGCTCCCTTTAGCCAAACTACTAGGAAAAGGGTACCCTAACAAAGAAGATAATCGTTTTGACAATAAATGCCCTTCTCTGCCCAAACACTATGGAAAAACTATCCCTCCCCTGTCCTCTCCCCCACTCCCCCACGGGCCCCACAGTTTCAGCAGAGATGAGCAGGATTTACACACAAACACCAGCAGATACAGGGCAGGCAGGGACACTCTGATTCCCAGCCAAGGTGGTGGTGGTGGGACCAAGCCAGGAGTTGACCTTCCATCCCCTGCCCAGCAGAAACAGGTAGTATTCTAACTCGCCTGCCTGGGTTGTGTCAGCTGGACACAGCAGGGAGCTCACCTCCACCCCCAACCCGCAAATGGAATAAGATGGTATAAGTTGGGACAATTCTTCAATTAATTAACAATCTAATTTCATCTCTTCCATTCCTCTCTCCCCTCACCTCACTTTCTTGTACCCTCCTGTGTGATGGAGGAAACAATTCTGGTTAAAATTCAACTCTCCACCTATTCCGTTCTTGTACCCACACAGCTGAACAAGTCTGGAGAAAAAAGCAAAATCATGCTGACTATGTTCACATTAAGTTCATGATCACCAAAGATCTGGCAAGTATGCAATCTCTTTCCTTCTCCTTTAGATGACTGTTTCTAAACCTTTCCTTTCTTCTCAGACCTTTAAGAACCCATTTCCATAGACAGTCTTACCTGTTGACTTTACTTCTTTCACTTAGAGGAAAAAAAGAAGAAAGAGAGAGAGGGAGAGGAAGGAAGGAAGGAAGGAAGGAAGGAAGGAAGGAAGGAAGGAAGGAAGGAAGTTAGAAGATTTGGTGGACATGCCATAGGATGACCCCCAATGGATCACACTCTGTATAGATCCATTAGTCCCATCACCCTGAGTGTGAGTACACACCTGTGACCTGATTCCATCCAACAGAATATGGCAAAGATGATGGGATATAACTCCCCTTGTTATGTTATATACCAAAGGTGAAGGAATTTTGCAGAGGTAATTAAGGTTCCTAATCAGTTGATTTTGAGTTAATTAAAGGGGAGGTTATCCTGGGTGGGCCTGATCTAATCAGGCAAGCCCTTTAAATTTAGTGATAATGTAAGTATATTAAAACTTAAGTCTGTTGGTTTGCACAACTAAACACGAAAACTCACATATAGAAAAACTGTATACTTAAATGAGTAAATTTTATTGTATTTAATTTTACCTCAATAAAAATTTTTGAAGTGAATGTTAAAACCCCTTCTTTGCAAAGGGATTCTAACAGCAGGATTTACACCTGATGAATGGTTGAGAGATAGAGATTATTTCCTCAGAACTCACAAACCAGACTGCTGGAGTAAGTACCCTTTTGTGATACTAATCACTGGTAAGAGAAACTGAAGTTTTTATTCAAATGTCACTCATTTCTTTGGTTTAATGCCTAATCTGTATAAAACCTGGGTATTTCTGCTTTCTGTGTTTTCCTATACTTTGAAAACTAGAATATATGAGAAGATTCAACTCTTTAACCATTTAACCTTTTGCAGATTCAGCAAGAGTATTAAAATGATTAGGTATTGTCTGCGGCTTCTTTACACAACACAGAGTTGAGTAGTTGCCTGAAAAGCCTAAAATATTTACTATCCAGCCCTTTATACAAAATGTTTTTTGTCAATCCCTGATTAAGATAAAAGAGAACACAGTCTTTCTACATCTATTCTAAATAGGAATGAAACAAAAAATGAACCTGATAAGACACGGCTGGTACACTTATTAGGAAATCTAATAAACAATATTTGCAAAGTTTGATTCAGCTAGCATGCCACCATTTCATAGCTTACATTTGAAAAAAAAGCATTATAATTAGCAATTAATATCTAAAGTAACTCAATGGCAATTTTTATTTTTGTCTGTCTGTATACCTCAGGTTTTACTGGCTCATGAATCTAAATGCAACTGTTGTCTTTCTGGGAATATCTTACATCCAGCACTCAGGGGCCTGGGCCTTGTTTTACTTATTCCTTTTATGTCTGCGCTAGTGGCTCTGGTAACTCTTCACATGATGCGCTATAACCTGATCTATCAGCCACAAAAATGTAAGTAAATCATACCTTACACTAATTTTTTGGTTTCTATTGTTTTCTTGACTTATCTCCTTCCTTTTTGATTCCCTATAACTTTTCTTTCAACTCACAGAATTTGAAGATTCTGTCAATTATTAAACTTNCTAATTTTTTGGTTTCTATTGTTTTCTTGACTTATCTCCTTCCTTTTTGATTCCCTATAACTTTTCTTTCAACTCACAGAATTTGAAGATTCTGTCAATTATTAAACTTGGATTGTGGATATTCTTGCAAACTCTGTTGCTACAAGAACATAATCTCTATTTTCTTTTATTTTTCACATATTATCACATATTTTAATATATATACACATAAAAGTTAAATACATTTTTAAAAACATAATCACAATGCCAGTATCACTCATATACACATATATGTGTTTGTGGAAAGAGAGAATTTCTGAACACCATCAAGTATCTGGTCACTGTTCTCTCTCTGATTGTTTCCTTTTTTTAAATTTGTTTATTTTGGTTTATTTTTATAGTTTGATGAAATCAAATCTAAATAAGGCCCATACATTCCAAACAGCAGTTATGTCCCTTAAGCCATACATATTCTACTTTCATCTCTCTCTCTCTCTAATTTATTATTCTTTAAGAAATCTGAATATTTCATAGAACATTTTTTATAATCAGGATTTTTCTTATTACGTCCACATCGTGGCATAAAACAACTTTTTCTCCTCTGTATTTTCTGTAAATTTTCTAATAGACCTAGATATCGATAAGATTTCGTTTTGTGTGTGTGTGTATGTTTTTGGGGGGGAGGGGTTGGAAAAACTCCTTCATAAATGACATTATGTACTTCAATGAAGAGGTGTAATGTTTTTTGTTTTTGCAGTGTAACCACTCATCAATGATTTTAATCTAAATCCACGATTCCATTGGGTATTGCACAGTGGAAATATTCAATATTTCTTCCTCTTTGATTAGCTAAAAGCAATTCTATAAAGACAAATGTCTCCTTATAAACTATTTAGTTACACAGAAATATAGTTTAAGAAAAAGAAGATGAAGTTTTAATTCTTTTATCTATAGGTTTTCAAATTAATGAGTTGAACTTTGACATCCCACTAAGGTGACATTACTTTTTTTTTAACTATTATTATGAATTCATGGACTTAAACATTTCAATGTGATTCTTCAATCTACTACACTTAGTGATGCTTAAAACTTTTCATATTCGGACAGTGAGATCCTCTTCGTGTTGGTGCCTGAGATCTTCAGACGAGCCTCTTGCTGTCTTTGATTGCTTCCTTCCTTTTTAATGGATAATCCTTTCTTTTTTTAATAAAGGAAATATTAAAGTTACGTGTGTGTATATGCATTTGTATGTGTGTGTATTTACCTACCTACTTACATAAGTAGTGACATATCATTTGCACTTTTCTCACCTGCTTTTTTTTTACCTTAATATAGCCTGGGGATTACTTTATAATTGTATATAAAAAATTCCTTGATCCTTTTTTAGCTGCATAGTGCTTCACCGTGTAATCAACCTTTTTTTTTATCAGTCCAATATTGACAAACATTTGGAGTGTTTCTTCACATTTGCCGTGTTAAGTAGTTTCTAATGAAGATCTTGGTGCATTTTTTTTTTTTTTTGCCAGTATACAAAGGGTCATCAAAAAGTTCATGGAAAATGCAAATGAAGAAAAAACTATGCATGTATTTCCAAAATTTTTTGAGCCAAAATAAACTCATACTAACTGTTACGACATGTTTAAACAGGATCTAGCTTGAGGTACAAGGAAGGATGTCAATTTGAATAGGGCCCCTATCAGACCAACATGAATTCTGCTAAAACTGAAGCAAGAAGAGACATCAAATTTATGGTGAAACTCAGATGGAATAATGGTGAAATCATTGATCCTTTATGAAAAGTTCATAAGGACAATGCCCCAAAGAAATCAGCAGTTTACAAATGTATAACTTGTTTTAAGAAAAGACAACATGATATTGAAGACAAAGCCTATAGCAGCAAACCATCCACATCACTTTTTGATGAAAAAATTAATCTTGTTCATGTCTAATTGAATAAGACCAATGATTAACCACAGAAACAATAGCTAACACCATAGACATCTCAACTGGCTGAAAAATGAAAGCTGGGAACACTTTCCACTCAATGGGTGCCACACTGGTGTGCCCAAATCAGCTGCAGAAAGAGCAGAACTTTCAATGGAAATTAAAACAAGTGGAATAAAGACCCTGGAACATTTCTTTGAAGAATTGTAAGAGGTGATGAAACATGGCTTTGCCAGTACAATCCTGAAGACAAAGTACAATCAAAGCCAGGGCTACCAAGAGGTGGAAGAGTTCCAGTCAAAGCAAAAACACTAGTCAAGCGCGAAGGTCACAGCAACAGTTTTTTGAGATGCTCAAAGCATTTTATTTGTTGACTTGTTGGAGGGGGGTGCAAAAGAATAACACCTGCTTATCAGGAGAGAAATTAGATTTGAGAAAGTTAGCCAAAGCTTCAACAGAAAAAAGCCCAGGAAAGCTTCAACAGAGAGTCCTTCTCCACCACAACAAGGTACCTGCTCACTCATTTCATCAAACAAAGGCAATTTTGTGATGGGGTGTCATCTATATTCCAGTCCTGATTTGACTCCTTGTGATTTCTTTTTGTTCATAATCTTAAAAAGATCTTTAAAGGGAACCCATTTTTCTTCAGTTAATAACTTAAAAAGGACTTAATTGACAAGGTTAAATTCCCGGGACCCTCAGATCTTTACAGATGAACTACATGGCTGGTATCACCACTTTAAAAAGTGTCTTGAACTTGATAGAGCGTATGTTAAGAAATAGAGATTGTATTTTTTACTGGTATCTTTTAATTCCACTTTTCCACAAACTTTTTGAACTTCTCTCATATCTTTAGGGTAGATTTTTATTTTATTTTATTTTTTGTTGAGACATAATTGATTATACATATTTGTGGGGTACAGTGTAGAATATCAATACCTGTGCATAATGTGTGATGATCAAATCATGATAATTATCATGTTCATCATCACGAAATGTAATCATTCCTTGTGTCCATTAACTAATATCTTGCAAACTCCCCTCCCCTTTCCTTTTCCACCTCTAGTAACCATAGTTCTGTTCTCTCCTTATGAATATTCAATGTATTATTGTGGTTGTTCTCTCTCTCTCTCTCTCTCTCTCTCTCTCTCTCTCTCTCTCTCTCTCTTCTTTCTTTCATTCTTTTGTTTCCACTTATGAGTGAGGACATGTGGTATTTCTCTTTCTATTCCTGGCTTGTTTCATTTGGCATGATTTTCTCCAAGCTCATCCATGCTGCTGTAAAGGCAGAATTTCATTCTTTTTTATGGCAAAGTAGTATTCCATTGTGTATATATACCACATTTTCCTTATCCAGTCATCCTTCGATAGTCATTTAGGTTGATTCCAACTCTTAGCTACTGTAAATAGAGCTGCAGTAAACATGGAAGTGCAAGTGCCCTTTGACATAATGCTTTTCATTCCATTGTATATGTACCCAGCAGTGGAATTATTGGTTCTCTCTGTAGTTGTTTGAGGAACCTCCTTACATTTTCCATAATGGTTGCTCCAATTTACAGTCCCATCAACAGCATAGGAGGGTTCCCCTTTCTCAGCATCCCTATCAGCATTTCTTTTTTTCCTTTTTGTCTTTTTTACTGACCGGCAACGGGATCGCAACCCTCGGTGTTGTGCCTGCACCGCGCTCAGCCAGTGAGCGGGAACCGGTCTCCACATGGGATCCGAACCCTCAGCGGGAGTGCCGCCGCGCTCCCAAGTGGCGCACTCTCCAGTGCGCCACCGGGCCGGCCCTCCTGTCAGCATTTCTAATTCTCTTTTTTATACTGGCCAGTCTAACTCAGGTGAGATGACATCTCAATGTTGTTTTGATTTGCATTTTCCTGATGCTTAGTGATATTGAACATGTTTTCATGTGTCTGTTGGCCATTTTTGCATCTTCCTTTGAGAATTGCCTATTTAGCTCCTTTGCCCATTTTTAAATCAGCTTACATTTTTACTGTTAAGTTGCTTAAGTTCCTTGTATATTCTCAACATTAATCCCTTGTCAGGTGCAGAGTTTGCAAAATTTTCTCCTCTCATTCTGTATGTTTTCTTTTGCTCTGTTAATTATTTCTTTTGCTATGCAGAAGCTTTTTAGTTTGATATAATCCCATTTGTATATTTTTTTCTTCTGTTGTCTGTGCTTTCAGTGTCATATTCACGGAATCTTGCCCAGTCCTACTTCCTGAAGTATTTCCCCTATGCTTTATTTTAGGAGTTTTATAGGTTGGGGTCTTATATTTAAGGTTTAATCCATTTTTAGTTGATTTTGGTATATGGTGAGGGGTACAGATCTAGTTTCATTCTTCTACATGTGGATGTCTAGTTTTCACAGCACCATTTCTTGAAGAGGCAGGCTTTTCCCCAATTTATGTTCTTGGTGCCTTTATCAAAAATCAGTTGGCTGAAAGTATGTGGGTTGATTTCTGGGTTCTCTATTCTGTTCCATTTGTCTAAGTTCTATTTTTATGCCTATACCATGTCATTCTGGTTGCGTTAGGTTAGTGGTATAATTTGAAGTCAGGTAGTGTTATACTACTGGATTTATTTATTTATTACTCAGAATTGCTTTGGTTATTCAGGGTCTTTTGTTGTTCCATATGAAAGTTAGGATTGTTTTTTCTCTTTCTGTAAAGAATGTCATTGGTGTTTTGATGGGGATTGCACTGAATCTGTAGATCACTTCGGGTAGTATGGACATTTTCACAATGTTAATTCTTCCAATCCAACAGCATAGAATGCCTTTCCATCTTTTTGTGTCCTCTTTCATTTCTTTCAGCAGTGATTTGTAGTTCTCATTGCAGGGATCTTTTACCTCCTTGGTTATTTTTAAGTATTTTATTCTTTTGGTAATTATTGTAAATGGGCTTGCTTTCTTGATTTCTTTTTCTGCCAGTTCATTGTTGG